GGGGGGGGGAAACGGCCGAAAATTCATGCGCGCGCGGATGTGATCCATATAATCAAATCAACATGGTCTTATTATGATACAACAAAAAGTAGTATTTTCAAAAATATTTACAGCTGGTGTGTTACGCGGAAAAGAGGTTATACCGGCTATACAAATACAGATACAGACACATGACAACCCCACTTTAAGCATCCAACATGGCGGACAACAGTTACGTCATGGTCACGTGAGTGCCGAACATACCTTCTCATAATTTTTGCTGGGCGCCATGTTCATTCTGATGACGTAGTCGAAACAATCGATCTCGTTCCCACAGTTGCTGTCGAGAAGAATCCCGCTATTACCGACGATTGCGCATGTGTGGTAGTGACCAACCGGTGTTCTCGTGAGGCACTGTTTCCCTCCACTGCATTTTGCCTCGTTTTCCTCCATGTCCGACAAGTAGGCGAAATTTTTCCATGGTTTGAAATGTTGAGTGGTGACATTTCTGAAGTGTTGAATGGCCACGTAAAAATGTATGCTCTAAATAACATATTTTGGACGACTATGATCAATTCCTACAAATGTTTTTTTGCAAAAGTAGGTACTTGTTGTATTCAAAAGCTTGGCTTATATTTTCAATGGGCATACATATGTATAATGTCTTCTTCAACAAATATCTGTCAATACTAGTATCACATCCTAAGTGTTATTATCTATAAGGCCACAGCAAGTAAATTTTATGGATGACATCCTCAGCAGACTCCAAATCTAATGCGAGCGGGCGAAAAAAAAAACAAGGCGAGCCGAAAAAACAAGGTTCCTACATGTTGAAATTTTGACTCAACCATTGTACAAATGGTTTTGATTAGGTGGGAACATCACATATACACAGCCAACTTCACATATCGCTACATCAAAGTAAGAAACAAAACATTAAATCAGAGCCTTTTCTTATCTCCTCTCTTCATAGTTATCTGCCATCCACGTTCAGGCATGGCAACAGACGTCTTTGCCCATTTTCGGCATGTTGGCCACTGTCAAAAGGCGACAAAATTTCTTTTTTCTTTTCCAAAATCAGGCGAAAATTAATGCGCGCTCTGATGTCATCCATAAAATTTACTTGCTGTGGTCTAACCAAGAGACGACTAGTATACCATGTGTTAGTCCCGGATTCTTACTACAGACGAAAACAAAACTAAACCTGCTTGGATACACACCTCAGGATTTCAACACTTTTGTATGCGGTGCACGTTCCCATTGGTACTCTATACTATGCAATTGCTATCTGTGTCGCATTGGAAACACTGTTGCTAAAATCTAGCACGCTTCTTTCAATATTTTGATAGGGGTTTCTTTTCGCTTCATTCTGCAATGTTGGTCTAAAAAGGAATAACATGTTAAGATGGTTTGCAGTAAAAGAACAATCATAAAAGAACGCCCGCAGTTGTTTACAAAGCGTAAATATGGTGAAAGAAAGTCGTGTATTGTACCTGATCGCATCTATGGCAGTGATGTTGGTCTGCTGGTTGTGCTCAATTACATTGCATACGGGTTGTGTGTTCCTTCTGTAAGCCATTTATCGTAAAAGAGTGAATATGTTGCCACGATTAGGACTCTGCATAATATAATGAAAATCAAACTGTTACAAGATCTTATTCAATATTAAAGTTGTGCCTGTTTCTGTGATCAACGGGGATGTGATCATAGTAATGATAAAACGTAATATATGTAAAAATGTATTAAGTTACTGAAATTTTAGCGGTAAAAAAGTAACAGCTAAATCAGCTATAATTAAGTGACAGTTAACAAATCAAAAGTATATATGATATGAATGAATGAATGAAACTGTAAGCGAAAGGCTCTGCAAGTATTGTACAGAGGGAGCAGTGGAAGATGAAATTCATTTTATCTGTCAGTGTCCTCATTAAGATTTTGAAAGAAAAAAGTTATTCAATCAAGTCGCCAACATTTCCCCAAATTTTTCATATCTCAGCAAACAACAACAGACTATATTATTGCTAAAGTCTCCCAACCCGTCTATTTTTTAAAGAGTCAGACAATTCATCTCCCACTGCCTCCTGAGAAGAAGCCAACCCCCCTAATAGCAAGAATAGTTTAATGGAATAGAATAAGTTTGATAAGTTTATCGTACAAGTAGAACTTTATGTAAGCATATAGTTTTATAGCACCACATTTGTCAATGTCTGTTTGCAATTAGCCCTCGGGCAAGAACTTGCAATAAACAACTCATTATAATCAGGCATAACACATGTAACCTATGAGATCTTATAATCAGGCACACCAACTTGAAATCTATGAGGCCTTGTAATCAGGCAAAGAAACATGCAGCCTATGAAGTCTTGTCATCAGGCATAAAACATGCAGCATATGAAGTCTTCTCATCAGGCATAAAACATGCAGCCTATGAGGTCAAACTACTTTCTATTTTTCAACTATGAACGAACATATATTAAAGTTAAGGTCATTTTTTGCACGACATTCAGGCCCCAGGCCACGTCTATCCAGGTCTTGTCTTGTCATCAGGCAAAAACATGCAGACTATGAGGTCTTGTCTTCTCATCAGGCATAAAACATGCAGACTATGAGGTCTTGTCTTCTCATCAGGCATAAAACACGCAGCCTATGAGATCTTTGCTTGTCATCAGGCATAAAACATGCAGGCTATGAGGTCTTCCTTGAGTATCCTATGGTCTCACAGCGCCATCAGCGACAGTCAGAACAACATGTACTTTGCCTAACTCTGTGACCACCTAACGGTGTCGCTTAAGTTCTGCCTAACTCTGTGACCGCCCCAACGGTCTCCTTAAAGTTTTGCCTAACTCTGTGATCGCCCCAACGGTGTCCCTAAACTTTTGCCTAACTCTGTGACCGCCTAACGGTGTCGCTTACGTTCTGCCTAACTCTGTGACCGCCCCAACGGTCTCCCTAAAGTTTTGCCTAACTCTGTGACCGCTGGTACATGTTGCAGTTCTGGCTAATATCGCTTTGGCGCTGTGAGACGGTAGGATGCTCAAGGAAGGCCTCATAGCCTGCATGTTTTATGCCTGATGACAAGCAAAGATCTCATAGGCTGCGTGTTTTATACCTGATGAGAAGACAAGACCTCACAGGCTGCGTGTTTTATGCCTGATGAGAAGACAAGATCTCATAGACTGCGTGTTTTATGCCGGATGAGAATTAAGACAAGACCTCACAGGCTGCGCCTCTATGCCTGATGAGAAGACAAGATCTTATAGGCTGCATGTTATATGCCTGATGAGAAGACAAGATCTCACAGGCTGCATGTTTTATGCCTGATGAGAAGACAAGATCTCATAGGCTGCATGATTTATGCCTGATGAGAAGACAAGACCTCACAGGCTGCGTGTTTTACCTTATGCCTGATGACAAGCAAAGATCTCATAGGCTGCATGATTTATGCCTGATGAGAAGACAAGACCTCACAGGCTGCATGTTTTATGCCTGATGAGAAGACAAGATCTCATAGGCTGCATGATATATGCCTGATGAGAAGACAAGACCTCATAGGCTGCGTGTTTTATGCCTGATGAGAAGACAAGACCTCATAACCTGCATGATTTATGCCTGATGAGAAGACAAGACCTCATAGTCTGCATGTTTTATGCCTGATGAGAAGACAAGATCTCATACCCGGCACGTTTTATGCCTGATGAGAAGACAAGACCTCATAAACTGCATTAATTATGCCTGATGAGAAGACAAGACCTCATACCCGGCACGTTTTATGCCTGATGAGAAGACAAGACCTCATAGGCTGCATGATTTATGCCTGATGAGAAGACAAGACCTCATAAACTGCATGATTTATGCCTGATGAGAAGACAAGACCTCATAGTCTGCATGATTTATGCCTGATGAGAAGACAAGACCTCATAGTCTGCATGTTTTATGCCTGATGAGAAGACAAGACCTCATAGGCTGCATGTTTTATGCCTGATGAGAAGACAAGATCTCATAGGCTGCATGATTTATGCCTGATGAGAAGACAAGACCTCACAGGCTGCATGATTTATGCATGGACGACCTGCCATTGGATGACGCATGAATCTTGCAACATTGTCGCCCAGCCCGCGCGGGCTTATAAGACTGTATAAGACTGTACAGAAATCACACACTATGTTGAAAGGTTACAGAGTAGAAAGTGAACGAACATATATTAAAGTCAAGGTCATTTTTGCACGACATTCAGGCCCCAGGGCACGTCTATCTGGGACATGGCAGTCACGTGACATCCGTGACGTTCCTGCGCGGCGATGATCGGTTGATTTCGACAGGCGGGATGGACTGTAGCGTCATCCAATGGCAGGTCGTCCGTCCCGCGCCAAAACACAGCACAAAAAGGACCCACAAAGACTACAACAAACCTTCTAGATTAAGGTTTTTAGTACTTAGCATCTAGTATCTGTACTGTAGCGTGCAATATACAACTTTATATCCTTTAATATATCTGCCCACCTATGTACGAGTATATACTGGCTTTGACTTCTGAACTAAAAGCATAATCTCCCAGCGGATCTGTCTGTGCTTAGTAGTATAGTATGGACGGGACGTGCCCTTTTTTTGAGTAGGTGCAGAGCAGGTGCAGGGCAGGTTCCTATTAATTAGGTGCTAATAAGAATTATACATGTATTTAATGCCTTTAAGAAAACTTACATAAAGTTTTACCAACTTTTGGGAAAAGAAAAATTATCTGCATATGTCTGAAACCAACCTAAGAGCCCCGTTGTTGTGAAGAGATGTAAGAAAGTCATATTCAATGTTGAAGTGGTGCCTTGTTTTGTGATCAACGGGGATGTGTTCATAGTAATGATAAAACAGCGTCCTATTGCGCATGTCCGTGGCGAATGGGTAGAAGCCGTACAGGGTGATGACGTCACAGAACGTCGTTCCCAGGATGTAAGCCATGAGCCCGGATGACGGAGAGGTCAAGTTGGGGACCAGCTTTGGACGTAACAAACTGGAAACAGAGAAAACGACAATACTGAATAAGTATTGATTACAGCATCTATCGATCGACCTATTGGTCAATCTATTGATGTATATATCGTCCTCTCTCTTTATACTGATGCCTATGTCTATCAGATTCAACGTTAACGTTATATCTGCCCATCTATTTATATACTAAATTGTAATGAGAATTACCCAATTTTTTTTCCAACTCAAGAAGATTGACTCACCGGGAATTTTCGACCGAATCACTCGATCTTCATCAACTTTCTGACCAGAGTGCTGTGGACACGAGATTTTTTACCCAAGTGTGACGTCAGCGCTGTGTCAAAGTTCGCCGGAAGTCGGTACCGCCCCCCGTCCCGGTTGAGCGAAGGTTGGTACACGTATGTCTTGATGTAAATAGCTTCCTACACTCCTCTCGAGTGATTTGGTCGAAAATTCCTGGTGAGTCAATTTTCTTGAGTTGGAAAACAGTTGAACTCAGATGGACTTTCATACTAACTAAAGTATCTGCTTTGCCTTCCATATATAATCCCCAAGCAGGTCGTAGCTATCTTACCGAGTGGTTTCAGTTGGCATGTATTGTAAAGAGTATGTAACTGAGATGTTCATATGTTGCTCTGTGCCAGACTGGTGTCCAGAGCTCGCAGAGATTCCTTCACTTCTTCTGTCAGCACTTTAACGTAGCTAAGAACACCGTGCTTCAGATACGACAACCTTTCCAAGACTTCTTCTCGTTTTGTGTTGTCTGATAGCTTCCTCAGGAGGCTTTTAGCAAGGGAATAGTTGAGAAAAGTCATGTTTGTCTTCGTTCCTACGTCCTGTAGAAGAGTAGATTAATTGAAAATAAAGACGTAAAAAGCTTTAAGGATATCGACATAAATGTAACAGTTATAATGATAAGCAGCAGTATGAGACAAAATGTTGAAAATGTATTTCTTCACAAGTCCGCATTTTATCTGTATAAGTATGATATAATGAAAAAATAGACTTGTCAAAAATACAAATTTACATGACAATCTCAGTTTAAGCAACCAACATGGCTGACAACACTTCCGTGAAGGTCACGTGAGTGCCGAACATACCTTCTCATAGTTTTTGCTGGGCGCCATGTTGATTCTGATGACGTAATCCCAAGAATCGATCTCGTTCCCACAGTTGCTGTTGAGAAGAATCCCGCCATTGCCGACGATTGCGCATGTGCGGTAGTGACCAACCGGTGTTTGCGTGAAGCAGTCTCTCCCTCCACTGCATTTTGACTTGTTTTCCTCCATGTCCGACAAATAGGCGAAATTTTTCGATGGTTTGAAATGTTCAGTGGTCACATTTCTGAAGTGTTCAATAGCCTCACATTAATATTGACCTAAAATGTACTATAAATATGTTCCTTGCGAAATTAGTATATTTAAAGGCACCTGTTGGTCTTCAAACGTTTGCCTTATATTTCCAATGGGCATGTATAATGTCTTCTTCAACAAATATCTATCAATATATCACATCCAAAGTGTTTATCTATAGCCAAGAGACGACAGTATATCATGCGTAAAACTAGTCCCGGATCCGTACTTCGAACGAAAACAAAGCCTGATTGTATACAAAACTCAGGATTTCAACACGTTTGTATGCGGTGCAACAACATCACCAGGTTCCCTCTCGGTGAATACTGCATTTCTCTAAATTCAATATTCAATGCATTGAAAACACCGTTACTTAAATGTATGCTTCTGTCAATATTTTGATACTAGTAGCTGCTGATTGTTTTTCACTTCATTCTACAATGTTGCTCTAAAAATCAATGAAATTCTAAGGACGTTTGTAGTAAAAGAACAATAATAAGAGAAGGCCCGCAGTTGTTTACAAAAGTTGAAAGCTTCTGTAGGGCTTAAGTCACTACAATATGGTGAAAGAAAGTCATACATTGTACCTGATTGCATCTCTGGCAGTGACGTTGGTCTGGTGGTTGTTCTCAAGATTGCACAAGTGTTGTGTGTTCCTTCTGTAAGTTATTAGTTTCATGTAACGTTAGATAAACGATAGTTTGTATTTTGAAACAACACCTGCAATAACGCAAGCGATGGCATTTCAACCATGCAAATATTTCCCCTAATATATTCTGATATCGCCGCAACTTCAAACAAACCTCTAGGTACCAGTACTACTTACCTCTTAAATGTGTATACTGAGAAGTTCCACTTGTAAAAGTTGAGCAGGAATAACGCTGTGGTCCCCAGACAGCAGAGTGCCACAAATGCACAGAAAAAGGTGCGATTATCTAGAGAAGCCATCTTGAGGGTATGGTTGGGGGTTCTAGGATCATGTACTGTTTCCCAAACCTCAGACCTCTAGATATCAATAACCACACGATCAGTCATTTTGACAAAAGTTTTTATATAGCAGTGCAGAAGGACATGGGATATAATTTTGCCCCTTTCGTGGTGTATCTTTTTTCTAATGTTTCAGATACGGGCATCAACTTTCATATACATGTCATGCAGTATAAAAGCGACTTATCCTTTCGAGGACGTAAAAAAAGACCGTAAACCAAGGCTGGATATCGTATACCCAACACCCATATGTCAGCCTCGGATATCCGGCATACCTGAGTTCCGGATCCAGCGGTTTTAGGTACATAAGTACAAGCACTTATCTAGCAAACACATACAACCCAAAACTGACTTCGAAACTCCAGTTTTACTGCCCAAAAATTGCTTTGTGTGCCTTTAAAACTTACATAACTTCACCAATTTTAGGCCAGAAAATCATCTACATATGTCTGAAACCAACCTAAGAGCCCCGTTGTTGTGAAGAGATGTAAGAAAATCATATTCAATGTTAAAGTTGTGCCTGTTTCTGTGATTAACACGGACGTGATCATAGTAATGATAAAACAGCGTCCTATTGCGCATGTCCGTGGCGAATGGGTAGAAGCCGTACAGGGTGATGACGTCACAGAACGTCGTTCCCAGGATGTAGGCGATGAGCCCGGATGTTGGAGACTTCAACCCAGGGATCAGTGTTGGATGTAGCAGGCTGGAAAAACAATGGGGTTGAATGGATATTCATACATCAAAGTATCCATCGTTCGATACCAGTCTCTTTATACGGACGTCTATGTCTATCAGAGTACCTTTTCATACATATAACGTTATATCTGCCCAACAATCCATATATATCCATAAGGTCACGTGTTTGTAACCGTAACTCTCGCGAGATCACGTTGTGAAGTAATATTGGTCATTAATTATCCTGAAGAAGGCGACAGTGGTCGCAGAAAATTTGATCTCAGTATAATTTGTGTGTTCTTTATATATATCTTATCTCTCTTTGTGTGTTTTCTTAGTGCCTTCTGAAGGCCCATTTGCAAGAACATGACTTAACCTTCAGAGTCACCCCCCATCCTTTTATGGAAATGTTATGGTGTCATGATGCCGTTGTAACTTGGAACCGTGGGTTCGTGTTGCGCAGCGATAGCGTTCTCGACTCGGAACCAGAGGCCCCGGGTTCGAGTCCTGACATGTCACCGATCTTGTGCCCTTGGGAAAGGCACTTTACATGACTTTTCTCACTTCGCTCAGGTGTAAATGAGTATTGTACTGTCCCTGTGTTGGTGTCGGCATTAATATAAGTTGAAAAAACTTGAGTGTGTCGTCACCACGTCTTGTGATTACATGTTTCGGAATAAAAAAATAAAAAAAAAACTTGGAACCGTGATCAAGAGAGAACACAAAATTGTGTATACAGTCTCTTGTTAGAGAAGAAAAAAAAAACAATGCACTACTGCATGTCTGAACAATCATACTGCTAACTCTAGTGCTCTTATCGAGAATATCGAGTGGTAAGATAGTAAAATGTTATATTAAATTATCTTACCGAGTAGTTTTAACGGGCACGTTGTGCAAAGAGTATGTAACTGAGATGTTCAGGTTACTCTGTGCCAGACTGGTATCCAGAGCTCTCAGAGCCTCCTTCACAGAGTTTGGCATCAGTTTGACGTAACTGAGAACACCGTGCTTTAGAAATGACAAACTTTCCATGACTTCATCCCGTGTGGTGTTGTCTGATAGCTTCTCCAGGAGGCTTTTGGCGAGGGAGAAATTGACGAAGGTCATGTTCGTTTTCGTTCCTACGTCCTGTAAAATAGTAGATACGGCATAAAGACATAAGGCATACATTTTAAGGAACATCACTAGAAATGCTGTAATGATACGCATCTTGTGGTATTGTGAATTTTCATCCTTACAATGCCACAACAAAAAGAAAAAAAAATACAGTTACAAATTCAAATCTACAAATCACAGTAGTTTTAAGAATCCAACATGGCGGACAACACTTACGTCATTGTCCGGGTTGTGCGCAGGCGCGTAACTTTCTGCCAAAAATATACCTTTTACCTTCTCATAGTTTTTGCTGGGCGCCATGTTGATTCTGATGACGTAGTCACGACAGTCAATCTCGTTCCCACAGTTGCTGTTGAGAAGAATCCCGCTATTACCGACGATTGCGCATGTGCGGTAGTGACCAACCGGTGTTCTCGTGAGGCACTGTTTCCCTCTTCTGCATTTTGATTTATTTTTCTCCATGTCAGAGAAGTAGACGAAATTTGTCGATGGTTTGAAATGTTGAGTGGTGACATTCCTGCAAATAAAATGTTTATAGCACGAAAATTGATTTCAGGGCCGTAGAACTGTCAGACAATTTTCTGGTCAACGTTAAATGTAGCAAGTTGAATCAACCCTATCCAATATTATACTTAGCCTGGGTACCATCCTACTTGTATGCCGGGGCTCCCACACTCGCTTCCCTTACTTGTTAGGGAAGCGAGTGTGGGAGCCCCGGCATACAAGTAGGATGGTACCCAGGCTATATTATACTGGTATCTATAAGGCAAAATACTATGTCGCTGGTTCTAGCTTATAATTTATTGCGACTTATTTCGGTACAGCTTTGTATGTGATACAACAACATCACCACGCCCCTTCTCTGTGAATATTGCATATAACAAGGGCAAGTTTATCTCAATTTATTGCATTGTAATTAACAACGTTGCTGAGCATATACGATTCTGTCAGTACCTCGATCGTTTACAGTAAAAGAAGAGGGCCTGCATGGGGGGAGGGGGGGTAGTGCTTACGAATTACGCAAAAGTTTCGCCACCGATTACAAATTAAGATAAATTCTCGGAGCTGATAACAAACAATTACGCGTTACGGCTCAATGAACAATCACTTGTTATGTTTACCGAAGGAAAACATATTGTTTTTACTCAGTTTCTTCCTCCTCTTCTGTTCCAAACACTAACCTCTGACCCGGCTAATGACATGATTTGTTGATGTCTGCCACCATGGTGACTGGTGTTGGGTTACATAATGTTGCAATTTAGTGGTCTGCATTACTCGTGTCACCATATACTAGTAATACATGTGTGTGAATGTTTTTGAGTAAAAATTAACAGGGCAGACCGTGTCCGAAGGTAAACACTATGCATTTGCTTTGCAAATGTTACTTCTCTAGTTGGATTTCTTGCATGAATCTTTGCAGGGCTTAAATTAACATAACATAGCGAAATACCTGATTGCATCTCTTGCGGTAATGTTGATCTTGTAGTTGATCTCGGGATGGCATAACGCTTGGGTGCTCCTTTTGTAAGGCATAGAAAGTTTACTGTAAAGATGTTGCCATAAAAATACACACAAATACACACACGTCAACATCGTGTGGTTTC